TTTTCTGTGTGCTATTATGATGGCAGTTGCCTATAATAACTCAAAACTCTTAAAGCCAAGTGTCATATTTAATAAAGAACTAGTATCCACAATATATAAAGAACTCTCATAATTCAACAATCAAAAAATCCAACTAAAAAATGTCAAAATATTTGAACAGACACTTCATCAAAGAGGATACGTGAGTGGCAAATAACTAAACATTAGTCATTAAGGAAATGCAAATTAAAATTCTAATCAGATACTCCTACACACCTATTAAATGGCAAAAATCAAACAAACTAACAGACAAATAAACAAACCTGACAATATCAAGTCCTTGTGAGGATGAGCATTTGGAACTCTCATGCATTGCTGGTGGGAATGCAAAATGGTACAGCCACTTTTGAAAACAATTTAGTAGTTTCTTATAAAACTAAACACTCACCATGTGACTCAGCAATCCTGTTCCTAGGTATTTATTTACCAAGAGAAATGAAAACACACGTCCACACAAAAACTTGCCCATGAGTTTTCATATAAGCATTGTTAACAAGAGCCAAAAAGTGGAAAGAAAACACCTAAATGTCCATCAGTTGCGGAATGGCTAAACAAACATTCACACAATGGAATGCTAACTGGCAATAGAAAGAAACAAACTACTGAAACATGCAACAACATGGATTCATCTAAAATGCCTTCTACTAAGTGGAAAAAAAAAAAGACTCAAATGGCTACATAGTGTGTGATTTTGTTTACATGATAATCTGGAAAAGATGGAATTATTGGGACAGAGAACAATGAATGGTTGCCAGGGGGCTGGCATAGGGGAGGAGGTTGACTACAAAGGGGCATTTTTTTTTTTCCTTAGGTGATGGAAATGTTTTATATTTTGATTGTGGTTGTGTTCCATGCCTGTATGTGTTTGTCAGAATAAAAAAGTTGAGTTTTACTCTATGTAAATTATACTCAATAAACTTGACTTAAAAACATGAGTACACACAAACTTGGACATAGACTGATTTGACACATGATGCTTTTCTAAATTTGAATTCCAGCTAGTGTGTGAAGCTCCTAGTATTAAAACTCTGACTATAGGGTTCTGGATGAGTGTTTCAAACAAACACCTTGCAGATAGGTCCAGTTTATTAAGCTGGAAGACAGGACTCAAGGTACTGCAAACAAACTACTGGTTCTGATGTATAGAGTCTTCAGACATGGCTCCCTGTGGTGATGAACAAAATAAATCTGGTCCCACTATACTGCCTTCCATTCCTTCCCTGCAACTCAACCAGCCATGCCATCATTAGGATCTCCTAAAGAGCTCTCTGGGGTGTCTATGCCTGGGTCTCAGGCCATTCAATGGATATTTTAGGCCTTTGAAGTGGTCCCTGGACACTTACTTGAGGAAAAGAAACTCACCAGGAGAAAATTTTGCAATATGTCTGCTCATGAGTGCAACTGATTGAGTGCCAGTGATTGAGCCAGTGAATTCGCCAGGCAGATAAGTGGAACAGTGGGCCATGCAATAGATACAGTTGTTTGTCGATGATTCAGACCTTTCTCCCCCTTAATATTGCTTTTAATTACATTCATTACAAAAATACTTTGAGGATTTGTAAAAGATTAAGTGGACAAAACACTGAAAATTTCAGTTTTCAGCGAAAGATTAAAATTATATCCTAGCTTGATATGTAAATCCCACAATTTTACTTCACGTAAGATAAATTTAAATGTGTATAATCCTTTTGAACGATGCATGAATATCCATTTCCTTGAAAAATCTGTACAATTAATTTCCTCACGCTTAACTGATGCCTTCTCAAGATCCATTCAATATTTTTTCAAAACTCAGGATTTTAATCCCTTGAATCTTTTTTCTTTTACACGAAAGACTGACAAACTCACTCTGGGTTAGAGCATTGTCCTCAGTACTAGGCTAGCACTCTGGAATTATGCTGCTGTTTCCAGCCAGAATGAAAGAGCAACAGGGAAGTCTAAGTTTGGGAACTCGTCTACCAGCCCAGTCCACCTCACTTGACAAGAAACCCCTTTCTCACTTGGGAAACAGAGGCAGTCCCCTCTCTGCTTCCCAATGTCTTAGATTTTGCAGAAAATCCTCCATATTCCTGGCTGAGTTATTGAGAGAAGCTCATTGAAGCCAATGAGTTTTAGTGTTTAGGAATGAGAGCTTCTGATAGTGGGAAAGTGGATGGGCAGGAGGTAACACACACATTTATGAAATAGGGCTCAGTTTCAATTTGTACATCCTCTAATCTGAAACAGACTTCTTTGCCTTTGCTAAGTAACTGACTCTTAAGTGACAAAATGTTTGAATTTCCAAAAGTACACTTGATTTTTAAAATGGTAACCCCCCTTCTGTGTGGCAGGAGCTTTAGATTACTTTTCTAGTACAGGGAAGGATTTTTCTTTATTCCAGGCACATTCTTGGGTCCAAGAGCTAGTCTACTATTTTATTGGGTACGTATTATTTGTAACGTATTATTAGACACTGTGTGGGTGGAAGGAGAAATTGGAGATGGGGAGACCAAAATGATTAAGACTTCGTTCCAGGACTTAGATCCAAATATCTTACAATTTAGTGGGTGAAACAGTTGCATCTATATTAAAAATTTTTGTTCTCATGGAACGTAAATTAGTTTGAAGTCAATAGGGAAAATGGCCTTGCTATGTTTTAGGTGGGTGGATAGTACTTTATTTAGTACATTTAGAGATTCAATGGTTCTTGAGCATCTCAAGGATTTCGAGTCTTACACTGGCCACCATAATGGAGAAAGAAAAGAACTTGCTTCAGGTTGGTGGTAGTATATGGATGTCTTTAAGAGTTCTAGATTTGGAGTAAGGCAGATCACTGGGTTTGAATCCCAGATCTGCAATTTAATAGTTGATGTGACTTTGGAAGAGGTATTTAACTTATCTATACCTTGGCCTTCTCATTTCATAAAAAGAGGATAATAGCAACATCTCACTGAGCTGATATGAGTTAAATACACAAATACATGTAAAAACATTAATTTAGCACCTGGCACGTGGTAGATGAGGAATGACTGTAAGTTATTACTATTATTATTACAGTAATACATACCAATGAATAGCATACAAAGAGCTATTTGCTTTGGAGCAATAAAATAAATAACCTCCAAGAAAATCCAAAACATGTTTTCATTACTCCCAAACTCTACTGCATTAGTCTCAGGCTGGTGTTCAGATTATTCCAGGCTGTAAGTCTAAACCCATGAATTTCTCAGAATACAGCACTTAAGATCCAAAGGTAAACAAGAGACTGGGCAAGGTTCTAGAGAGAAAAGGCAGTTTTTGCCGTGGAGTCTGGTTTATACCTAGTGATTACAAATTTCCCTTGACATATTTTAGTGGGAGTAGCTTTCTTGCAAAATTCTAAGGGAAATATGTTCTGGACAAACTTACTTGCCTTTGGAGTAGGTCACTACCTACATTAATTTTGGAAGATACTGCCCTAGCTTTTATTTTCCCCAGGTGTCTGATGTCTAAAACCTCACCAGGTTATTTACTTTAGCTTACTAATCTTTTTTCTTCCCCAGTTGAAAGACGATTCTCCCTGGTAGAGGAGAGGGGAATCAAGGTCCAACACTACGCTGGCCAGGCCCTACTCTTGTTCTCACTGGTAATGTGGCTACTCCCATGTACAACCTAGTCGTTGAATCTAGACTGTCTTGTCTGGGTCTCTGTCTCTTGTGGCTGTATCTAGTCTCCAGTCTTGTTTGAAAATTCCTTCAGGACAGGAATTTTGTCAAAAGATTTTGTAGAATATTGGTTAAACTTTACCCACCTGTACCTTAAACCTATGTAGCACACTTTGACATCAAAAGTAGGTGAATGATAAATTGTAAATTGTTGTTGATTATTGTGACCTGGTTTCACTTCCCCATATCCTGAACTATAATGTGTTCTCTAGAATTCTTTCAGAACTAGAAATCGTGGAGCGGACTGTGATTGCAGCAGAGTTGCAGATCTACTGGAACCACTGCAAAACACAACATAAGGCTGCAAATTAAGAAAAAAAAAACAAATCCCTAATCAATCTCAGAAATGGATCCTTATTACCAAGGATCTTAGATATAGACAAAGAGACCTTAATAAGGTTGAGTCCTGTTTTCCTCCCCATTGCAAAAATTAGCCAATAAAATTTATGTTCATTGTGGGTGAATCTGTAGCACCCAAAGGGTCATTTCAATAGCTTGCTCAGCTCTTCAGCACTTAAGAGTTCCTGGAAATGATTCAGTAGCATGGAAAGCTGCTCTTTAGAGTCTTCTAAGACGAATCCATGGGGTTTTGATTTGCTAAATTCTAATCTAGACTAACAGCAGCCTTATTTCCCTAATTTTACAATCTAATTTCTTTGGCGCTTAGAGTTTAATGTACTTTGTAAAAAACACACCACCAAAAAACAAGTCATTTTTCATTTCTAATGAGAACTGATTTTGAGAAAATATATTAAAGGGAAAGCGAAAGAAGAATTGTTTGGGAGCCCTTTATAATAGCTTTTAAGTTCCGTTAGTGAAAAAAAGTGGGGCTTTGAGTATGGAAGTGGGGTTGAGATACTTGGCCTCATCAAGATAATAAGTAAGGGCTATTTTTGTGTTTTCTGGGAAGGGAAATGGAACTGCTGGATATGGAGGATAGTTCACCTAGGTTACTAGGTTATCAGGACTTAAGACACAGCACTTTTCAAGAATCTAAAAATGAAATGGATTTTTCCATTCTTGCCCCGAAAGGTTAGGTAACTGGGACCTGCATTTGCCTCAAGTAAATTAATTCAGTGAATATTCACCCCTAATATGTGTGGGGTACCTTATCAGGTAAGGAGTGAGATGGAGGGGTAGGCCGTGGAAATAAATCCAAAGACATAAAGTATTTGCCCAGAGCACGAGTAAGTTCCTGAGAAAACCGGGTTTCCCAATCAGTGTGATTGGCAGTGTACCAAGCTGCCTGAGATTCCTTTTTTTTTTTTTTTGTCCTACCTGATCATGTGGAGATCTTTCTTGTGATTTGGAGAGTTTGAGCTGTTTTGCCAGCGTTCAGCAGGTATTCTGTGAGAATTGTTTCAGATGCAGATGTATTTTTGATGTACCCGTGAGAGGAGGTGATCTCCCCTGTCCTTCTATTCCGACATCTTGATGGAAGCCTCCCCCAAGCTGCCTGAGAGACCAACGTAAGACAGTAATGACTCTAGGGCTAAACTCTCCCATAAACCTCAGGGGCTGCGTGAGTGCTTAACAGAAGAGGCAAAACTGGGATAATTCCATAAGCCTCGAGCAAACCTTTATCTCAGGGTTTAGGAAACACCTTTAGGGAAGTTAATTACTGACATTTAAAATTGACGTTAGAAAGAATAAAGCTTGATTGTTTTTCATTTTTCGACATTTGCAAATTACAAATAATTCAATAAACAGAAACATTCTTGATTAAACTTAAAAGAGAAGAAAATACAAGCAAAGCGGATTAACAGAAGATAAATAAAAAAACAGGGAAGCCGTCGACCTTTGCAAGAACCTCACGACCCCCTCCGCCGGATGTGGGTAAATGGAGCTCCGCCCCCAGCCGACGAGCGGGTCCCACGGGATCCTCGCTCTAGTTCCGCCTCCGCTTGGCTCGGCTCCACCCCGCTCCAGGAGCTGCGTGCCTATGCGGCGAGTCAGGGAAAAGCCAGGCGGGACTTCCGGCGTTTGAAAAACTTCCGGCGGGAACCGGAAGATGTGGTCGCACACACAGAATCCCGGGCCTCCTGACACGGCGGGCGGGAAGGTGAGCTGAGCGTCCGCCTTGGCGGTCTTCCTGCGGGCTCGCGGGAGCCCGGCGCCGCTCCGGTATTTTTGGGGCCATTAAGAAAGTTCTGAGCGCTCATTTGGGAAATAACATCCCTTTTTAAAGTGAGAAGTTTCATTACAGTTTACTGTCTGCAGTTTGTATCTCATACCGTACCCTCGAAAACCCCTCCTACCTGCCGCGTGTCACCTGGCGCGTCTTCTCAGACAAGCTCTTAGCGCAAAGGGGCAGACGTCGGAAAGCCAGGGCAGACCTAGATTGTTTTCAAACCTCAAATGATCGGAGATGGGGGAGGAAGCGCCCTTTTCACTATCAGATCATGGCCCTGGCAGAATCAGCTGCATCCTCAGTAGTGTGCCTGGCGTGTAGAAGGTACTGAATAACTGTAGAGGAAAGGAACGAATGGGAACACTCCAGGCACCTCTTCTCGAGCCTCCCATTCGCCAGCATGTCATAAATATAATGTATGTGCAATGGGAAACGAGCCTAGGCTTTGTGTTTGGGGCTCTGGGTTCTGGTCCTTATGCCACAATAGATCTTCCCTTTGAGTAAGCCGTATCACTTCACTGGATCTCAGGCTTCTTATTCATAAAAGAGAATAGCAGGACTGTCTGATTTCTGAAGCTCTTTCCAGCTCTAGTATTTTATTTTTATTACTAAGTTAGGGATCTGTGCTGACATTCCAAGGACTTTTGTTGGTACACAGGGAAACTTCTATAGGTGCCTCTTAAAAAGTTGTTCTCCCTGTTTTCCTTTAAGTTATCTAATTGTTGTTTTTACAGTTTTAATGTAATATTTGTGTGTGTGCAGGTCTTTCCAGCCCCTCCTCCGCTTTTCACTTGCCCTGGCTTGGTGCCTCCTCTCAGTAACATCATAGCAACCTCCAAGTTTTTGATTCTGAGTCAGCTTTCGTAGCCACAGAGATAAGAGAGCTTGGAGGAGTGAAAATCTCAAGCCACTAACAATAGGGATGTTCTCTTGTACCATCACTTTTTCAAGAAAGCAATGGGTGCCATGTGTGATGTTGCCTAATAGTGCTGGGGAAAAAAATGTATATTCCTGTGTAGAGACTATTTATATATATATATTCTTATGTTCATTTGAAAATAGTTATAGAGCAGCTATTAAGTGCCAGGCTCCATGTGATACAGAAGTGAAAAAGACAAATGTGGTTTCTTCAAACTTTGTGGTGCTTACTGCCATGAAGTAAACGTGGGGAATGCAGACAATAAACAAGGATAATTATAGATTGTGTTACATAGTACTGTATAAAGGAAATAAATAGTGTCCTATAATAATATTTTATCTGAGAAATGCATGTTAGGCCTAAAATATTGAGATCTAAGCGCTGAGAAGGAGCCAGCCTATTGATGAGCAGGGGGAATAGTGCTCCCGGCAGAGGGAACCTGGGGTGGGGAAGGATCACGCTTGTTACACAGTGCGAAAGCATGTTGTGACTATGGCTGAGGAGCTACAGGGAGTGGTAAATGTGGTTAGAAAGGTAGGCAGTGGTCACTTCTTCAAGGCGTTCTAGAAGGCTATGGTAAAAAAATATGATTTGACTCTTAAGTGGAGGATGGAATAGGAAGTCATTGAATGGTTTTAAAGCATTTTCTAAATGTTAGATTGAATGGGTTTGTGGAGGATGGGTTTTAGGAGCAGGAGTGGAAGCAGGGAGGCCAGTTAAGAGGCTGTTACAGTAGTCCAGGTGAGAAGCGTTTGGGACTGAAGCCTCACTGGAGATCATCAAGATTTAAGATACATTTTGGAGGCAGAATTTATGTGACTTACTTACAGATTGGATGTGGGAGATGAAAGAAATAACAGATTTGCAAGGTTTTGGTTTAGCAAGTGAAACTTTAGAGGATGATGGTTATGTTCAGTATCTTGATGGTGGAGATAAGAATACATATGTCAAAACTTATCAAATCTGTACACTTTAAACACGAATGATTTATTGTATGTCAGTTATAGCTCAATGAAACTGTTAAAATTCTAACAACGTTCTAACTTAGCAAAGAACCATTCATCTTAGGTGGATGGTGGTGCCATGTACAAAGATGGGAAAGACTGAGATCCGAATGGGTTTTAGGACAAGGAATAGTTTATCAGGAGTTCCATTGTGGATATGTTAAATTTTGGATAACTGTGAAGCATCTGGATAGTTTCATAGGCAGGCAGTTTATTAAGTAAATCTGAACCTCAGAGGTAAGATTTGTGGTGGAGGTATTAGGTTTGTTAGTAAGTAGGTGATACAAGTATTTAAAACCATGCAAATGGATTAAATTTTGGTTAATCTACAAATCCTATGATAGGAAATAAGAGAACATGGGAGGATTGGAGATGGGCAAACAGTTCCCAGAACATTGGTGGTAAAACTGGAGTATGGATACCCCTGGGAGTATACATACCCCTGGGAGTATACCTAGATAGGTACACAGTTTTTAAGAAAGAATTTCTAAGTCCTTACCTTCTGTATATACTCTTTCTAAAACTGATTTGCCTGAAATAGGCCTATGTGTTCATGCATATTCTCCTTTCCCACCTCCTTTTTCAAATTCATATTGTTTTTTCTACTTGTCAAAAGACAAGTTCACCTCTTTTAATGGCAGCATTGCCACCAGAGTGCCTGATAAAGGAGCATTTGGAAATATTTGTTTTAGGAAAGTCTTCTCCAGTGGTTAATTAAAATTTTGTGAGCTTCCCAAGGATTTGTCTACCCCTATTTATAACACATTTCTGTTAAAGCTGAAGTGTGGAGTTAGAATTGGTGCATGGTGGTCTCTGTGGGAAAGTTCTGAATTCAGGTGTAATGTAGAAGGGGGTGATGGGAGTGGATGATCTGGTTGGGCTGTTTGTCAAGGAGCTTAGCATCTTCAGCATTTTATTCTTGGGCTGGTCAGATTCTCCAAAGAATCTTCCCATGCTCCTCCCTAGAGGGTAGGAGGCTTTTTTAGGAGCATAGTGGGGGAAGGGGGCCGGGAATCTCAGTTTAACATTCAGCCTGTATGGTTCCCATGTCCACAACTGTACTTCATGTCCTCTAGTCTAGAGACTTGTTTTACCTTCTCCAGAGAATGAACCTCCAGACTTTTTCCTGGGGCAGTTGTTAATAGCACGAAATGGAGTAGAGCATCTAGAGATATTCCTTTGCTTCAGACAGCTTACACCCAGCCCTGACTCCCTTTACCCTTAGTTCCAAGGTATCAGATACCATGTCCTGTGATTTTTTTTTTTTTTTTGAGGATACTGCAGAGTAAATTGGTTTGGTTCTGAAATGCTCCCACTGCTGACTTGGGGTTTTAATTTTTATATAGTAAAATTTGCTAATCTTTTTGGCTTTTGGAATTTCGAGTCATGCCTAGGAAAACCTTAATTCTCCCACCTCCACTCAGAATTATCAAAACAGCCTTCTTGGGCTTCCCTGGTGGCGCTGTGGTTGGGAGTCCGCCTGCCAATGCAGGGGACACGGGATCGTGCCCCGGTCCGGGAGGATCCCACGTGCCGCGGAGCGGCTGGGCCCGTGAGCCATGGCCGCTGAGCCTGCGCGTCCGGAGCCTGTGCTCCGCAACGGGAGAGGCCACAGCGGTGAGAGGCCCGCGTACCGCAAAACAAAAACAAAAACAAAAACAAAAAAGCAAAACAAAACAGCCTTCTTTGCCTTTTGTAGTACTGTACTTTTATTTGGTACATTTAAATCATTAGTCAGTGTGGAATATATTTTAGTTCATGGTGTGGCAGCAAGAATTAAACACTTCTTTTCCTCCAGAGGGATAGCTGTTTGTCTTAATACCACTTATTCAGTAATTCATTTCTGGACTTCCCTGGTGGCACAGTGCTTAAGAATCACCTGCCAATGCAGGGGACACTGGTTTGATCCCTGGTCCGGGAAGATCCCACATGCCCTGGAGCAACTAAGCCTGTGCACCACAACCACTGAGCCTGCGCTCTAGAGCCCGCAAGCCACAACTACTGAAGCCTGTGTGCCTAGAGCCCGTGCTCTGCAACAAGAGAAGCCATCGCGGTGAGAAGCGTGCACACGACGACAAGAAGCCCCCACACCACAACGAGAAGCCCGTGCACCGCAACGAAGAGTAGCCCCCACTCGCCGCAACTAGAGAAAGCCTGCGCGCAGCAACAGAGCCCCAACGCAACCAAAAATAAATGAATAAATACAATTGATTGAAATGCCACCCCATCATACACTGACTTACTCTTTCTGTTTTTGTTTTATTGTGGTAAAATACGTACAACACAGAAATCACAAATTATCCATTCCTTTATGATCAGTATCTAGGAGCGCTTATTTGAGGAATGATGACCTTGATAAACATAAAATTCAGAAAAGGCGGTGAAGGAAAAGATGGAAGAATATCCTGTCTACTTCTTTTGTAGTCCTGGTTCCCTCTGGGCACTCTCCTGTCCAGTAGTTCTGCACCCACTGGACTGAGTTGAGCTATAGCTGCCAGGGAGACATGTTCCCTTTTGTGACAACCACTTTGGTATTTCTGTGAGGTGTTTGTTCCTTCTCCAAGTGGAAGTTAGAACAGAGACATTATAACATATGACTGATTTAGGAACTTGTTTAAAGGTTTACAAGCATGTCAGAGTCTAATGTAGTTTTTATGGTTTGACATACAGTCTTTAGGTAATAAAATTTATCAGCTAAAGTAAATTTGTTTACTTCCTGTATTGTATGATGTCTCCGATTATTTGAGTCCTTTTTTTTTAGAGCTGGGCCTTTGAATTTGGGAAAT